GCTCCGCCCCGCCAGTCCTGCCCGCCGCGGGAAAGGTGGCGCGACCGCAGGCTGCAGGCCGGGCGGGGCGCCCTCGGGGCTTCTATTAGCGTTCCCAGCTCCCTCACCTTGCAGCCTCCCAGGGAATAAACTTGCTCTGCTAATCACAACCACCGTGCATTCATTCACACAACCTATCCTTGTTTATTCTTGAGCCTCTGTTGGAATAAACGCCATAGTAACAGTAATAGTCACAAACACCTTTCATTCATCACTTGATTCATTCTGGAGCCTGAGATGGATTGCACTTTTCATGATAACAGTGGATGTGGATAGTGAGCTGGGCCAAGGGCCGTAGCACCAGTAAATAGAAGAGGCAGGATTCGAACCGGAATTTCTCGTGACCAGGCCAGGTTCCATCTTCCGGGACGTCTAGGTTTTCCGGAGGCTTTGCAGGAGCACTGTGGCTTCGCACCTGTGGTTTGGAAGTCTTTTCGACCTGATGTTTAAGCTCAGAAAGGACCTGGTGCTCCCTTGTCTGGGTGGCCTTGATTTTGTGTGCCATTCAGTTCCACTGTGGCGTTGGATCTTTTTCATGCCTTCTAGAAGGGTTTTCTTGCAGCACCTGAACGGCCTCACTCCTTTCTTTGGTATCGCAAGTAAATAGATCAACTTGCATTCTCCAAGGTGGAAAAAATGCAATTCACAAATTTCGGTTGAAGTCATTGTCTTCAAACAGTTTCTCAACTTTCAATCACTTTCCTGTCTATGACGAAGTCTTCATATTTTGACTGCCAAAACAGGTAGGTAGTGTACATAGCTCATATTGTTTTAAGATGTCCTTGAATAATCTACAATTAATCCAAGGGTTAAATTGCATGCATTCAAAGCTTTTTATTTTTGTTAATCCTTCGTGGAGTTCAGCCTAAATGGGGGTAGGCTGACAATCTCATTTTGAGGCAACAGTTCTTTTCATTAAGGTATTGATTTCACGTCTTTTCATGTGCTTGGGAAAGAAATCCTCTCTTGTAAAAGCTGTTGGAGTCAAGAAAACTTTTTAAGCAGAAAGCATCATCTGTAAATTCTTTGTTGTTCCATGTCATTGAGTCAATGACCACTCATAGCAACCCCAAGAACAAGGGTCTGAACCTTGCCCTCTCCCGCGCCATCCGACCAAGAGTAGGGAGCTTTCACTGAAGGATAATTTTAAAAGATTCTCTCTTCTCAAATAGATATTCAGAATATTCTAGGCAATGCTTGCACTTTCCCTTTCCTTTAAGAACTTGGTGGCCCTGAGTGGAGTTTTGTTTTGGTTTTTTTAGTCGTTTGCTTTAGAGAGCTGTGGTGTGGCATGGCCTGTAGGAAACTGTGTTGCTAACCCACAAGCGACACACCTCCTGAGTTCAAATCCACCCAGTTGTTCCAAGGGAGAGATATGTGCATTCTCCTCTTGTGTGTTTTAAAACTTCTGAAAACCTGCTTAGAGGGTCAGCTATGTAGCAGCTCCTACTTGAAGGTTTACAACAACAACAGCAACTGGTGGCTTAGTAGTAAGGGGTTGCACTGCCAACCCAAAGGTGATGGTTGTTGACTGCCGTCAAGTCAAGCACGACTCATAATGAATCTGTGAACAAAAGACCTGCAGCCTTTCTATAACTATTGTCATTTCTCAAAGTTCATAGAGTTTCCAGAGGTATGTTGTTTAGGAAGTGGATGCCACTCCTGCTTCCAAAACTGTCTTAAACTGGGAGCTCCATCAAACACTGTCCACCATGGGCAGCCATTATGGCATTTGACGCCCCCAATGACACAAGGTTCAGCATCACAGCAAACCCAGATTAATCTCAGCGCGACAAATTGACAGAGGAGTGCTGTACAACTTAGATTTCCTCCAAAAATCAACCGACTTTTAAATACAAGGGATATCTATCCATCTATCTATCTCTCTCTATCTCTATATCTATCTACCAATAAAAGGCCTGAAGCCTTTCTATAACTATTGTCATTTCTCATAGCTTCTCAAGTTCATGGAGTTTCCATGTGGTTTAGGAAGTGGATATCACTCCTGCTTCCAAACTTGAATCAATCTGGGAGCTCCACCAAACACTGCCCACCATGGGTAGCCATTCTGGTATTTGGCATACCTATGGCACAGTTGTTCAATTATGGCATTTGTGACCCCAATGGCACAAGATTCAGTGTCACAGCAAACTCAAAGGCATGAAGTTCAAATCCAACAACTGTTCCAAAAACAATGTCTCTTTTATTTGTTAGCCCAATGAATTATTTTTTTCTCTTTAAAAATATGTAAATAATATGACACTTTTAAAGCTTGTCATATTTTAAGTCACCTGACGTGAAATTGAAACCATCAAAGGCAAGATCTTGAGAATCCTGATTTATTCCCTGAGAATCTTGGGTGATGCTGTGAGAAAACAGGAACACCTGTTTATGAAGTAAAGGTGACAATAACAGTTTTTTTATGCACAAAGGAGTCTTTTATAAACTAAACCTTACCTGTTTCCATATGGGAGCTTTGGTGGACTAGTGGAAGGAAGCTGCACTGCCATCCTGAAGGTATGCTGTTCTAAGCCAACAGCTGCCCTGCAAGAGAAGGATGGGCAGTCTCCTCCTATGCGATAGATTAACTGCCTCTGAAAACCCACCAGAGGGTCAGCTATGGGTTGGTTCCAACTCTGTGGTGCAAAACAACAACAACAACAAATACCAGTTTCTGTGTAGCACCTTCTCATTTCCTTCAGGCTGAAGACAGAGTCACGCAGCCTTAAAGTCGTCCTGATTTGGTGAAGGTGCCATCTAAGATTCCCTGCTCATAAGATTCCATCTAAGGATGATTCACCAGAGCTCTGATTATAGGAGAAGTCTTAAGGAAAAGAGGAGAGCAGCAAGTGTTTGGCTTTCCCTCTCTGTTTTCTAGGTCTATGTGGAAAGAAATGCTCTCATTTGGCCCAGCCCTCCGCTGGTTTCTATAGTTCGTATTGTTGTTGTGGTTGTTGTTAGGGGCTGTTGAGTCAAGTACAACTCATAGAGACCCTGTGAACAGTTATTCTGAACCCTGCCCTATCCCGTGCAAACCTCATCATCTCTGAGATACTAAAACTCACTGCTGAAATCATTGTGTCAATCCATCTTGTTGAGAGTCTTCCTCTCCTTCGCTGACCCTCTATCTTACCA